TAGGAAGTATTATTATTATTATTTTTAAAAATATTTTATCTATTATTTATTTTTAATGTATATGAGTATATTGCCTGCATGTAGTGAGTGCACCTGTGTTGTGCAATGCCGCAGAGGTCAGAAGAGGGCTTCGGATTTCCCTGGAACTGGAGTGAAGGAGGGTTTGTAGCCACCATGTGGGTGCTGGGAATCGAACCCGGGTCCTCTGCAAGAGCAGTCAGTGCTCTTAACTGCTGAGCCATCTCACCAGTCCCATAAGTATTATTATTTTTTTTAACCCTTTAGAACAATTACAACTCAACTTGTCCTGTTACAAAAAGACAGTACTTCCATGTTCTTTGGACTGAAATCAGCTAGTCCTGGAGGCATGGTGCATACCCTTTCCACAGAGTACTGACCACTAGAACTGCAATCGACAGCTGCAATTTTGATTTTCTTATATCTTTTTTAAAAAAATTTGTTTTGAGATAGGGTCTTTCTGTGTAGCCCTGGCTGGCCTGGAACTCTCTATGTATGTAGCTGAAGCTGACCTTGAACTTGTGGTGATGTTTCTGCCTCTGCCTCCCAAGTGCTAAGATCACAGGTGGGTGTCACCACACCACACTCACTTTCCTGTAGTTTTAGTTGGGATTGGAGCATAGGCAGGAGACGGGTTTATAGATTCCTTTGAAAATATGATGGGAAGCTATGAGTTCTCTTCTTAGAAAAATGCTGCTTAAGAAGCCTGGCACTCAGGGTCCTATTTTGGGAAGCCTGGGGCTACTGGTGTGGTAAACTCAGCCGGCTTGTGCCAGCCCCCAGCAGGCTCGGTTCTCTACCTCAGCTTGCCTCTCACTGTTATGCCTTCTCCAGGGACTCTGGCTGACTTCTAAGTCACTTTCATGACAGTCTCTTCTACCAGTCAGAACTCACCCTCCCACATATATTTTTTGGAAGAGTTGGGTTTTCAAAGACATTTGTAAGGTCCCCCCCTGGTCACAGGGTCCCTGTGGCAATCTTCGGTGTTCCTGTCTGAAAATACTGTCAGATTTGAGAAGCAAATCTGTGCTTTTGTGAAGCTGGGCTGGCTATTTTTACCCACCTCCCCTCTCACCCCATCTCCTGAAATGTGTTGCTGCTTGGCTGATTAGTGCTCTAGTCATGCAGAGAGGCTCAAGGCTCATGGATAAAGACCAATCAGGGCTTTGGAAAGCAAGCTGAACTCCTCCAACATGGGCATGGTGATACTTTACAATGAACACAAGCTGAAAAAATCTGTTTAGGGAAATATTTTCGTGACAACCAAATATTGGAACTTAAAATTTGAGATGCAGAAATGAATCCTTGGGAGAGGAAAGACCACCATTGTCTACAATGGCTCTTTTATTCCCATAATTAAGTGCTGGAGGTGGTGAGTCTAATTAGTGGGAATGACAGCCATGGATGCCTGGATGGCGCTTAAGGGTGTACAGCGTGTGCACTGCACAAACATGAAGCCCAGGAGGCAAATGCATCCAAACTTCAGCCCCAAGAACATAGCGTCTGCTGAGTCTGCCCAGAAGGGGCACCTTTTTCTAATGCATCTGTTTAAAGGGGGGGTATTTTTTTTTAAACTTATAATTCTCATAAGTTACCAGAGCTTAGTGGCTGGTCCTGAGATATCTAATCTATTTGGACTGAATTATTTAAACTGTCCTTGCAAGTCAATCCGGCTTATAGCTCATGCTGTGAACCAATAGTTTGGGATCATGCGGAAGGCTTCTTAAACCACAGGGGACCTGAGAACATGCATTTATAACAGATACCCAGGGGACATGGAGGCTACAGGAACAGGAACCTTGCTTTGAGAACACAGCTCTAAGTTGGAGCTCCAGGGAGGCTTTATTACTTGTGGCCTTGCCCATGTTTACTAATGTGAGCCTCCCTGAGCCTGTACAAGACCAAAGAAAAACAAGCAACCCCAGGTACCCCATACTGAAGGGCTATCCTGGTGTGGACTTGGCCTTGGTAGTAGACACACCCATCTGTCTGAAAGACCCACAGTTCGCAGCATGACCTTAAATAAGTAAGTGGCTAAGGAGACACTGTGGCAGAGGCTATTTCCATTCATTTAATTTCCCAAGAATCTGCATCAGGTAATGAAGGGACCACTGTGTTCCTGGCCAGAAGCTCGGCTGTGTTGCTGAGGTCTGCAGTAGTTTATGCCAAATCGATGGTGTGGTTCTCAGACCCGTGGCTGTATGAAAAGACCGCTTGTTTTGGTTGGAGCTGTGACAGTGGTTACAGGGGTGGACTCACTCCAGGTATACTGGCGCCTGGTGCTTGGTATCCACCAAAGCCTATACCTCCTGTCCCTAACTCAGACACAAAAAGGATTTGTGATCAATAGACTCCTTGAGCTGTTAATGGGCCTCTGCTAACCCATCATAAATAAATAGTAAGGATTTTTCTTAAAGATCTCCAGACTGGGAGCCTATGTTTCAGCAGATGTATTATTCAGGCTCCTGTAATAATTAGAGAATTCTGATGGGACCCAGGGCCTTGCACATGCTGGGGAAGCTTCTCTCTCTTAATCAAATGCCCTAAGTCATCGCTTCCCTGCTATAGGCTCAGCTGAGATGGGAAAGATTCAAATCCTGTCCTCCATTTTCCCTTATTGGATTCTTACCTTAGGTAGGAATTTCTTTCTATACTACTTAGCAATCTCGCTTCTTCTTACAATATTTAATTTAATGATTATTATTGTATGTGTGTACACATGATAGTATGTATGTATACACAAATATATGTGTGTGAGTGTGTGTATGTGTATCTGTGTATGTGTGTCTGTGCACACGTGTGTGTCTATGTACATAGGTATGTATGTATATGTGTGCCTCTGTGTGTGTCTATTTATATATCTCTGTGTATGTGTGTCTGTGTATATGTTTGTATATGTGTCTTTGTGTGTATATAGTTGTCTGTATCTGTGTGTCTGTGTATATATGTGGGTTTTTGTTTGTTTGTTTGTTTGTTTTTTGGTATTTTGGGGGCAGGGTCTCCCAGCTGTCCTGGAACTTGCTAAGTAGACCAGGCTGACCTTGAACTCACAGAGATCTGCCTGCCTTTGCCTCCTGAGTACTGGGACTAAAGGCGTGTGCCACCACACTAGGCATATATGTGTTTTTGTGTATGCGTGTCTCTGTGTTCATGTGTTTGTATGTTTGTATGTTTGTGTGTCTGTATGTATCTCTGTACATGTATATGTCTGTGCATTTGTGACTGTAGGTATCTGTGTATCTGTATGTATTATGTATGTGTGTGTATGTGTGCATGGGGTGTGTGCCACAATGTTCCTGTAGATGTCAGAACACAATTCTGTGGTCATTTCTGTCCTTTCACCTTTAGTCAGCTCAGGGATTGAACCTAGGTCATCAGGTTTGGCAACAAATGCCTTTACCACTGAACCATCTCACTGGCCCCAAACCCTGTTTTCTGAGGCACAGCCTTGCAGTGTTTTGCCCTCTTGATCAGAGTCCAGTCTCCCTTTTGAGGCTGTCTTTCCTGAAAAGTCCTTGGTCACATTCTGGGCTAGGGAAACCTAGCTGAGTGCCTCTAGTCTTCACAGTGGCAGAGTTTTGGCCGTCCAGGCACCTGTCCTCTTGCCAAACGTCTAATCAGCGCAGGCCTATTATTCTTTGACTATCCATGTGAATTCCCTAGATATTGGCAACAAGGAAACCAGGAGTTCTGAGAGGTAGAAGTCGGGAGAGGTGGGTTGGGGACGGGCCAATTTTCCCTCTGAGAGTCACTTTCCAGAAAAAAAAAAAAAAAAAAAAAAAAAAAAAAAAAAAAAAAAAAAAAAGGATCAGAGGAAATAATGCCAGGATGTACCCCATCCGCCCTGTATCACAAGACAGCCAGGTCTTGGGGAGACTTCCTGACAGCATGGTATGTGAGGGTTGATCCTGTGGGTTAGATGGATTTATTCTTCAGCAGACACAGATCTGGGAAAATTGGAACACAAACTAAACAAATCCAGTCCATAGCCCACAGAACCTTTTAAAACAGGACTCAGAAGCAGCTGGCAGCATGAATAACCATTACTGCCTCTGTCTGTTTGTCCAATGTATGCTTTCACTTTAAGATGTGTGTGTGTGTGTGTGTGTGTGTGTGTGTGTGTGTGTGTGGCTTCTAGTAAGAAAGGGAAGAGCATGGGTGGAACAAGGCTGGAAAAAGACCAAAATACAATCTAGGCTACACTCAGGACAAATGTAATGTGACTTAGGAAAAGGCCAAGGAGGCGGGCATTTCATTAGACAATTGACCTGCAAGTCAGCTGTGTCCTAAATCACCCATTGGGTGTGTTCATTTCTATTTATAGCCAAGGACACAGGCCACCTGAGGACTGATTCTGGGAAGGCAGAGGATTCATGGCTATACAATGGCAGCACTGAGCATCTGGGGAGGGTGGTCCATCCATCATGGTACCAAGAAAAGCTTATTTTCATTACTGGCAATGTGTAAAACTTGTTGAAAAAAATCCCTGTGACAGTAAAAAAAAGCAGAGCAATAGTTTCAATAAGGATTAGCCAGGCACCTACACCTCTTTCTGTCCTTGAATTCTTAGAGAGCCCGTGTATATCTAGTGAGAGACTGTTTCAAGTGTTCACTGTATCAAAGTACGGGCTTTTACTGGTCATGAAGCTTTAGACAGCTTTGATCTTGAATCGAAGTTTTGGATAAATTAGGTTGGGTTTGAAATCTGTCCCACAGAGAACAACGGAGACCTGCATATCAGCCATGAGAGCATCAAGCATGCTGAGGTCCTACTTAGTCAATAGCTCTGTGGTTATTTTAGACCAAGCTTCTATAATTGCGTCTTTATTAGGCTCACCGGACAGTGCTATTTCCAGTACAGGAAGCGGTGGCTCGCCTTTGTTGCTGTCCTTCTAGGTGGTGCTTGAAGTTGGACGGGTTGAAAGCCCAAGTCAACCTGTTATGAAACTGTCCTACAAGTTATTTTAGAGAAGTTGACTTACCGTACCACTCATCAACCCATGCAAAAGCCTGTCTGTGTCCAATCAGAAGAATGTCTCGGACCACCTAAAAAGGAAGAGAAGGAGGCTGAAATGATACCATACATGATCCCAGTCTGTTTGGGAGGGCTGGGGGGATGGCTCAGTGGTCAAAGTGCTGGCTGTGTGAGCAGGAGGATCTGAGTTCAATCCCTGGAACCTACTGTTGAAGAAGAGAACGAACTCCTCAAAGTTATCCTCTGACCGGTATACATGTGCTATGACACAGGATTAATTAATAACTAAAAACTTAAACAGGGGCAAATGGGCTGGAGAGATGGCTCAGTGGGTAAGAGCATTGGCTGCTCTTCCAGAGGACTTGGGTTTGGTCCCTGATACCCTCACAGCAGCTAACAACCATCCTTAACTCCAGTTTAAGGGATCTGATATTCTCTTCTGGTCTCCATGGGTACTATAACACAAATGCATTTATGTACATGCAGGCAAAACATTCATGCACATAAAATTTAAAAAATAAATGTTAAAAAAGGGAAAATGCTATATCTGTGTATTTCACCCTGTAGCTGCTATTACGTTTGTATAGAAAGATTAAGAAATAGTTGCTGGGTGTGGTGGTGCATGACTTTAATCCCAGGAGGCAGAGGCAGGCAGATTTCTGACATCAAAGCCAACCTGGTCTACATAGTGAGTTCTAGGACTTCTGGGTCTACAGGGATACCCTATCTCAAAAAACTCAGCCCCTCCCCCTTGAAAAACCCCTCACAGTTGCCAAGATTCCCAGAATTGAGAACCAATTGTTTCTAAGCCAGGGTCATGTATATGCATGTGTATATGTATGTGTGTGTGTGCAGGTATGAGTGTCCACATGTGCTCATTTGGAGGTTAGAGCAGGACATCGGGTGTCTCCCTCATTGCTCCCCAGGGAGTCAGGGTCTCTTGGTAAACCAGAAGCTCACTGTGTTTTTGGCTAGGTTGACTGGCCATTGAGATCTCAGGATCCACCTGTTTCTACTTTCCAATGCTGGGTAACAGGCACCTACCACCATGCCAGAACTCGGGTCCTCATGCATGCTTAGTAAGTGCTCTGACCTCCCAAACTGTCTCCCCAGCCTGAAACTGATTATGGGAAAATTGCAATAGAAAGCTAGCAAAGAGAACATAGTTTGTGGATTTGTGTAATACTTCCTATGTGCTTTTATTTCATGGTATGAATATACTTTTCTCTCTGTGTGTGTGTGTGTGTGTGTGTGTGTGTGTGTGCATGCATGTGTGCATGTCTGTGTGCCAGTGCACTTACCTGTGCGTATGAAGGGAGAGGTTAATGCTGAGTATTCTTTTCTATTGCTCTACCTTTTACAAAAATTTTTACATTAATTTATGTATTGTATGTGTATGTTCACATATGCCATGGTGCAAATGTGGTGGTCAGAGGACACCTTGAAGGAGTTGGTTCTCTCCTTCTACCATGAGTCCTGAGGACTGAACTCAGGTCATCAGGCTTGGCAGCAAACATCCTTACCCACTGAACCATCTTGCCAGCCCCCATCTTATTTTTTGAGGCTGGGTCTCTCACTGAACCTGGAGCTCAGTAGCTGTGATCTCCAGGAGGTCTCCCTGTCTTTACCTGCCCCTGCACTAGGGTCACAGGTATTGTATATGCCACCATGCCCAGCTTTTGCTGTGGGTGCTGGGGATCTGAACTCAGGTCCTCATGCTTGTGAAGCTAGCACTTTACCCACTGAGTCATCTCCTCTGCCCCTAAATATTCCTTATTACATTTCTTGGACACTCACAGACTGCCTCCAGTATCCCTTCCTTTCTTTCCAAACAAATCCAGCGATTGTAAGAAACCTCTCATGGAAGGTTGAAGTGTGTTTCAGTAAGCAAAGAGTTTGAATTCAATGGATTTGTAGAAACAAGGGAAGCATTTATAATGAAGTGTTTATTCCTCTGGGCCTTGGGATATCTGGCAAGGCCTTTTATGGTTTGGAAGTAGGAAACATATAATGAATCTAAGAAATACCATGCAGCCATCCACACTTGAGTGCTGAGTGTGTTAAATTCATGGAAATCAAAAGAACAGCATCAAGCCATCATAAACCCACCCTATCGTATTAAACACAACACAGCTGTGGCTGGCAGCAAGGCTTCAATAATGTGCTAATGGCTCGCTTTTGAACACCCCCCCTCCCCCATCCCTGTGAATAGATTCTTAAAAAACAAAGGTGTTTAGAGAAAGGCATCCCCAGCACTTTCAACCCAGGCACATGCTCCCCTCATTAGTAACTCATGTGGGGAGCAGGTGTGTTGGGCATCAGCAACACTTCTTTCCTTTGGAATCGGGCAATGGAATGCCTTCATCCTATGCATCCTTCTCTGTAAAGAAGTGGGTCTGCGAAGTAGCCCAAGCCATTGCTGAGGAGATAAATGAAACGGGTTCTGGACAATTTAAGCATGCTTTATAAGAGGAAATAAGGTATACGATGCTGATGATTCTAGTTAGAGATGATGTTGGGTTAAGAAGGAGGGAGAGAGAGAGAGAAAGAGAGAGAGAGAGAGAGAAAGGGAACTTGAGGCCCATGTAATCCTAGCACTTGGAAGGTGGATCAGGATTTCAAGGCCATCTTCTGCTACATACGGAATTTGAGGCCAGCCTGGACTACATGAGACCCTACCTCAAAAAAATCCCCAAAGCACAACAACAAACCAGAGAGCAAGAGCAACTGAGAGTGCCGGGGGCGGGGGGTAGGGTGGTGGTGGTGTGTGTGATAAGAATGAGAGGCTGTTGTAGGAAGCAAGAGGGACACAGAGACTGACCAGGACAGACATAGAAAACAAGCGGTATGTCAACCTTTCAACCATCAACTTGCCACAACCCAGAATCACCTGAGAAGAGAGTCTTAATGAGGAATTATTTAGACCAAGTTGTCCTATGGGCATGCCTGTGAGGGATTTATTTATTTATTTATTTATTTATTTATTTATTAAAGAGTGCATCCATGTCGTGCAATGCCCACAGAGGACAGAAGAGGCTGTCAGATCCCCTGGGACTGGAGTTACAGACAGTTGTTAGCTGCCATGTGGGTGCTGGGATTCGAACCTAGGTCTTCTGAAAGAACAACCAGTGTTCTTAACCCCTGAGCCATCTCTCCAGGCCTGGACTTATTTATTTTTGAGATGGTATCTCACTATGTAGCCCTGGCTGGCTGGAACTCACTATGTAGACCAGGCTAGTCTTGAACTCTCAGAGATCCACCCTCCTCTGCCTCCCTAGTGCTGGGATTAAAGGCATGTGCTACCACACTTGGCTTTGTCTTTGCTCTTGACTGTGGATGTGTGAGACCAGCTGCTTCAAGCTCCTGCCTCTGTGAGTTCCCCACAGTGATGGAATGTACCCTGGAATGTGAGTTCAATTTAAGTCCTTTCCCCTAGGTTGCTTTTTGTCAGGATATTTTATTACACTAACAGAAATGAAACTAGGATAGTCTCTGAACTTGACTTCTGTGCATCTTAGTTCATTCCCATTCCTGGCTGTCAGGGTGACTTTTGGAGCCCAGGAGACAGGTACCTGATATTTTGTGTAAGAAAGCAGCAAGGCCCTCAGGTAGGTCCAAAGTCTGTTCTTAGCACCTGCACTGGTGCTGAAGGGAGGGAGAGTAGTGACTGATTCCACAGACCTACATTAAAGTTTCAAGAATGAGGCTTTTGGGGCTGGAGAGATGGCTCAGCAGTTAAGAACACTGGCTGCTCTTGCGGAGGACCTGGGTTTGATTCCTAGCACCCACATGGCTGCTAACAGCTGTCCTTAACTCCAGTTCCAGAGGATCCGATGCCCTCTTCTGACCTCCAAGGGAACTGCATGACATGGGAGCACTCACATGCAGGCATTCTACTCATACATATAAAATAAAATAATAAATATATTTTAAAAAAAGAATGAAACTTTAGCCAGGCACTAGATAAACACACGTGAGTTGCAGCTACTGGGGAGGTGCAGGCAGGAGGCACTTGAGGCCAGGCTCAGCAGTATAGCAAGACCTCCATCTTAAAACCATAAAACCAAACTTCCGTGTCTTTCTACTGTCAGCCAGGCAGTGGACAAGTCCTGCTAAGCAAGGAGAAGCTCAGTACCCGAAGGAAAAATGTCAGCGTGTCCAAAGAAATTCTAGAAGGCCACTCTTTGTCAGGTTTTAGTGGGAAAACAGATAGCTAGCTTTTTTGGAATATAGAGGAAACTTGGGAAAAAAATTATTTTGAGGCAGGGTCTCAGGTAGTCCAGGCTGGCCTTGAACTCACTATCTAATTGAAGATGACCTTGAACTTCTGCTCCTCCTGCAGTCACCTTTGGAGTGCTGGTACGTACGAGTGTGCTCCACCAGGCCTGGGTTATGTGGTGCAGGGGATCGAACCTAGGGCTTCATACATGCTAGGTAAGTGCTCTACCAAATGAGCAACATCCCAGTTCTGAGACTATGGGGATTATTTACTTATTGTTAAAATTTTTATTATTTTAATTAATTAATTTTGTGTGTGTGCACATGCCACAACACTCTTGTGGAGGTCAGAGGACTTATGGCAGTTGGTTCTCTCCTTCTATCAAGTGGGTCCTGGGGATTGAACTGAGGTCGTCAGGTGGTGGCAAGCATCTTTACCCCCACCTGACTGGCCCTATTTTTTTTTTTTAAAGTCTTTTTGAGACAGGCTCTCCCTGTATCCCCAACTGTACTAGAACTCACTATATAGACCAGGCTGGCCTTGAACTCACAGAGATCCGCCTGCCTCTGCCTCCTGAGTGTTGGGATTAAAGGCATGTGCCACCACGCCTGCCTCCCATTATTGATTTTTATGCAAACAAAAGCAGTTATAAAGGGCAATGCTCAGTATAGCATTTCCCATTATTTTAGAGTGACATGTAGAAGAGCTGTGTCAGAGACCCTGAGAAAACTTCAATCAGCCCCATGTTGGTTCCTGCAACAAAAATTAATGTGTTTTCCAAAGAGAGTACATGATTGAAATTTGTGTTCTGAGCTTGCTCATCATGCTTTAGAAAGGGAAATGCTTTAGACAGCAGAAATGCTGAGGTTGCCTTCTGATGGGACCGTTAAGATTTCTGCCTCTTGGGGCATCTTCTATGTTTGGTGCCTACGTCTGCAAGATCATCCAAGGGAGAATTATCCCCAGGAGCTGTTCATGCAGATAAACCTTCTGGGCTCCTGCCAAGGTCCTCTGCCTGGAGGTAGATTAGCCTGACTGCCAAAGTGAACAGTGCATTCTGCAAGCCCCACTTCCCCAAATATACTCACCCAATAGACACAGAGGTCACAGAAAGGGCGGTGATGTGTAAAACAGCTATATCGAGTGGCAGGAGAAAATGAAACCCAGGTAGAAAATGCATTTTAATAAAGAAATTGTTTCTCGTTGCAGGTGCCTGGTACTGGTTCAGCAGTGGGCACTGGGTGAATATCAAGTCTCCAACTTGCCAACCATGGGTGTGACCGTGTCCTCAACTTACCTTGTGTACAAATTGTTCCACTCTGGTCTGAAGGCCCCAGACCTCGAACTTCACAGTCACCAGCTTGTAGGAGCACATGATGGGCTGATGGCTATCTCTCCAGCCCTCCCTTAGCTGTCCCCGGCCTGTCTTCTCTGACCTGAAGTGTTTAGGATCCTAGAAAAGATAGATCAAAGAAATTGGTATATTAAAAATGGAGGGGCTTTGCAAAATTTGTGAAACCCTATTTAAGAAAATTAATACAAAATTAAATATGAAAGCGAATGTATATAAAAATCAAATGTTAAGGATGCCAAATCACAAATGGCAAATACTTCCAGTACAATATCACAAGTCCAAAACTTAAATAAAACTCATGACACATAAATTTGTATGAATGATCTCCTGGCAGATTTATATAGTCCCTTATTTCAGTATTCCTATTTTTTCTTTTTTTCCAACTTTCTACTGGATTGTCTAGTTTAGTGTGGATTCTTCTTACACCAGAGATGCTCGCCACTGGATAGAGTATACTAACTGCCTAGAGCCCTTTTCTGCTGTTCTTTCTACTATGTGATAATTTTAATGTAATTATTTTTTTTAAATATTTTAGTTATTATTTTTATTTTATGTGTATGAGTGTATGGCCTGCATGTATGTGAGTGTACCCGTGTCGTGCAATGCTGTGGAGGTCAGAAGAGGGCTTCAGATTCTCCTGGAACTGGAGTTAAGGACGGTTTGGAGCCACTATGTGGGTGCTGGGAATAAAACCCAGGTCTTCTGCAAGAGCAGTCAGTGCTCTTAACTGCTGAGCCATCTCTCCAGCCCTTTAATGTAATCATTTCTATAAAATAAAAAAGAAATATAAAAAAAAGAAGGGGCTGGCAAGATGGCTTGGTGGATAAAGGGTGCTTGCCACCAAACCTGTTGACCTGAGTCAATCCCTGGGACCCACATGGTGGAAAGAGAGAACTGACTCCCAAAAGTTGTTTTCTGACCTCCACGGGCATGTCACGGGAGGCCAATATACACTTGTGCATGTGTGTTTGCATGCAAACGCATAAAATAAATAAAAATGTGGAGTTGGAGAGATGACTCAGTGGTTAAGAGCACTGGCTGCTCTTGCAGAGGACCCAGGTTCAAATCCAAGCACCTACATGGCAGGTAATAACCATCTGTAACTCCAGTTCTAGGGGCATTGCAGGACACGGGTGCACCTACCTACATATGATCTACATAGTGAGTTCCAGGACAGCTGGGGCTACAGGGAGAACCTGTCTCAAAAAGACCAAAAAATCCCCACAGGCATTGCACGACACAGGTGCACTTACCTACATGCAGCCAATACACTCATACACATAAAAATAATAAAATACTAAAAAAAAAATAGTAAATATTGGGGCTGGAGAGATGGCTTAGTGGTTAATAGGACTGACTGCTTCTTTCAGAAGATCCATGTTA